CAGAGCCGTTGGGAGCCTGAGACCGTGGGGAAGGCTGTGCGTTCTTTCAGAGGCTTTTCTTGTTGTCTGGGAGTTTGCATGTCATAGTCCATGGTGGTAAAGAGCAGTGGCTGGGAGCCACTTGCTGGTTGTGTAACCTTGGGCCAGTCACTTACCCTGTCTGTGCCCTGACTCTCCAGTCTGTAAAATGGTACAATAATATAGTACCTGCTGGGCTGTCGTGAGCATTAAATAAATGTGGCTGTGCAAGAGGAACGCTTGGAACCATGCTTGGCACTCAGTAAGCGCCAGCTAACTGTTACTATCGCCACCATTGCTTCCCTAGCATGTCACTCCTGTCTGCTCTTTTCCACGCTGCTGCTGTGCTAGGAGCCTGCAGACCAGAGCTCAGCTGGAAGGCCAGCTGGCCTGTGCGGGCCTCCGCCGCTGTGTTTGCAGAGGGTTGAGCTATGCAGCAGGAAGTCAGTATTTGCTGCAGTGAGGTGTGGTTATTGCTATTCTGTTAAATCCAGGGCGGGGCAGGTCCCTCCGGTCGCTCCCCTCAGGGACACCTGGGGCTGCCCCTCTGCTCTCCCTCACCCCGCAGTGACCGCCAGGCTTGGGAGAGATGCTCAAGATTGTATCCTACACAAAGAGGTGGGGACCCTGGCTCTGGCAATTTCAGCATTTCAACCCTCATGTGGACTCCTTCAGCGTGTCTTGATGTTAAATGTGCAGATATACAATAATCTAGTATTGTTTTTTTTTTTTTTTTTTTTTTTTTTTGAAATGGAGTTTCACTGTTGTTGCCCAGGCTGAAGTGCAATGGCGCGATCTTGGCTCACCACAACCTCTGCCTCCTGAGTTCAAGGGATTCTCCTGCCTCGGCCTCCCAAGTAGCTAGGATTACAGGCATGTGCCACCACGCCTGGCTAATTTTGTGTTTTTAGTAGAGATGGTGTTTCTCCACGTTGGTCAGGCTGGTCTCGAACTCCTGACCTCAGGTGATCCGCCCACTTTGGCCTCTAAAGTGCTGGGATTACAGGTGTGAGCCACTGCACCTGGCCGTATTTTTCTTTCTTCTTTATCGAGATGTAGGTAACGTATTATAACGTTCATTTTCAAGTGTAAGAGTCAGTGGTTTTTAGTATTTTCACAGAGTTGTGCAGCCATTACCGCTGTCTAATTCCAGAACATTTCCATTACTCCAGAAAGGTATCCATTAGGCGTCACCTTCCATCCCCCATCCCTCTAGTTGAAGGCAACCGTTAAACTCTTTTCTGTCTGTATGGATTTGCCTGTTCTGAAAATTTCATATGGATGGAATCACAAAATAGATAGTCTTTTGTGTCTGGCTTCTTTCACTGAGCATTGTATTTTCAAAGGTCCATCTATGGTGTAATAAGTATCAGTGCTGGCCGGGTGCAGTGGCTCATGCCTGTAATCCTAGCACTTTGGGAGGCCGAGGCGGGTGGATTGCCTGAGCTCAGTACCTGCAATACTAGCCTGGGCAACATGGTGAAACCCTGTCTCTACTAAAATACAAAAAAGTAGCCGGGTATGGCAACATGGCCCATAGTCCCAGCTACTCGGGAGGCTGAGGCAGGAGAATTGCTAGAACCTGGGAGGTGGAGGTTTCAGTGAGCCAAGATCACACTACTGCAGTCCGGCCTAGGTGATAGAGCAAGACTCCATCTACAGTGCTTCATTTCTTTCTTTTTTTTTTTTTAAAGACGGGGTTTCACCATGTTGGTCAGGCTGGTCTTGAACTCCTGACCTCAGGTGATCCGCCCACCTTGGCCTCCAAAGTG